CTAGTCCTGGTTACATGTCAGTGCCCACCACTAGGTTGTGGGCTCCCTGAGCACAGGGACTGTGTCTTTTGCATCGTGGTGTCCCCAGGCCTCTCACAGGCCCTGAACAGAGCAGCTGCACGGAATGCAATTGAGCGGAGTGAACCCTGATGTGCCTCGCCATCAGCTGGTCCCCTGGGTTCCCTCCTCATTCCCATGGTAGAGCTCTCACCTTCAGAGTGGGCAGGTCCTCAGATATATCTGGTAAACCCCTCCTTTCACATCATAGTTATTAAGATGAAATGAGGAAACTGAGGCCCAGAGAACTGGAAGCCAGCACTTCTCCCCTTGAGAGTTATCCCATAGTGAAGCCAGACCCTGAGCCTTGGGTATAGGGGACCCACTGGGGAAGGGGCTGCTTTCCAGAAGAGACATGGCTTCCATCCAGGACCCTAATTTGGGGAACAGGACCTGGATGCCGCTGACTACAGCTCCATGGCCCTGGTTGGACAGCACAGAGAGCTATGTGATACGGACATCTGAGATGGGCTCCAACAGTGGCAGGAACAGGATGCAACTCTCTAGAGAGCCTCAGTGAATTTGGAAATCACCACAGCCACTTTCCTAAAAGGCCCCCCAAAGCGACCTGCATGTCCCTCAAGGTCGTAGTTCCAAGGTTCATTGTGAGGGAAGTGAGCGAGGGGAGAGGGAGCAGAGGACGAAGAAGCTTGCAGGAGGGCCTGCTCACTGTGTGACTATGGGGAAGGTACTGGGAGGCGGGGAGAGTAGGGAAGCCTGGGGCAGGCCTCATTCACGTATTCCTTCAATACTGAGCATTTCCTAGGCACCAGAGACTGTGCTGGGTGTAGGAAAACAATGGTGGGAAAGAGCAGGGAAGCACCTAGTGCCCAGCTCTAGGGAGTGTTTGCTCCTCACACAGACTATGAAGTGAATAGCACCCCTGGAGGTGTTCAGTGCACAAGCTGCTGAACTCCTTGATAACCCTGAGGATGACATAGTCCTTGCCTTAGAGTGGGAGAGCCACCAGACAGTGCAGCACCAGCAGTGGAGCACCCAGTGAAAGCATACAGCCAGGATCGGAGAGCAGGGCTGAGACCTGAAGTGTGAGGAGAGATCACCCGGGTGAGGGTGATTAGGGGACAGGTGGGGAGTATTCCCAGCAAACAAAATATGTGAAGGCCCAACAGCAAAGGATGGCATGGAGACAGAGAAAGGTACATAGGAATGGCTGGAACCCTGAGTGGGCCAGGACATGGAGTGATAGAAGAGCCTGGAGAAGAGTTTGTCCTACATGTATGAGGGGCCATGGAAGTACCATGGGGGGAGTACGATGATCTTTATAAGGAGGACTCAGCTGCAGTGTGGAGATAGGTTGGGAGAGGCACAGCCTTCAGGGAGCTCTGTGGGGGTTTGTCCAGGGGTGCAGGCCAGAGATGGTAGTGGGCTGGCCTAGAGTAGAGGCAGGAGGTGGCAGGAGAGGGTGGGATTTGGAAAATAGTTGAGAGGTAGCATCAGTGGGGTGTGGGGTTGAAGCAGATGCAGGGGAGAGAGAGGAGCCACAGAAAGTGACTAGGATTCTAGACTGGCTGATGGAGTAGGGCTGGCAGGTTTGGGGCCTGGGGGAATGATGCTTGTCCAAGATTCCTTCCAGCCCAAGAACTATAGGATTTGTGTGACTGGTGCAAATCATGGGATCAGAATACTAAAACCAAGATCTCAAAGAAAAATAGAGTCAGGTCCTGGCTGAAGGCTTCGTGCCCATCCCCATCCCCCTTCAGGTCACTGAGTTATCATTTTCCCCTTTTCATCTTTCCAGCATCTTCTTCATCCGGGCACCATGTCCAGCACTGGGGATATAAGTCAGGTGCCCTGTTTCTGAGAGGGAGTCAAGTAAACAGGAAACGATGATATAGGGTGGAACAGCTATGACAGAGAACCCCTGGCTATGGGAGCGCTGAGAAGGGGCATCCAGTGCAGTGTCGGGAGGGCAGGGAGAGCTGCCAGGGGAAGAAGGAGCACGGAAAGTGAGTCCCAAAGCAAGAGGAGGAGTGATGGAGGCCCAGTGCAGAAGTGTGGAGGGAGTAGGAGCATCAGCAGTGGAGGCAAAGGGAACAGCATGTACAAAGCCCCAAAGAGATGTGAGGCAATGAGGCCAGAGAAGTTAAGGAACGTTTCCAAGGTCACATAGTTCATTTGCAGAAGAGCGAGGAGCAGAGCTCGGTCTGTAGTAAATGTGTGCCATGTTTTTAATCACTTTGCTCTAGCCTGTCAATCCCTTTCGCTCCTTTCTCCTACCTCCAGATAAGCTTGGCCCAGAGAGACGCCTGAGCCAGGGAGGTGAGCTCCTTCCCAGGGCTGGGTCCACCTCGCATGAGGATCCTGTCACCTCTACTCACCCTCACCTTTCCTGCCCCACTCCTGCTGGCCTGATGTGCAAGCCCATCTATTAGAATTATGTCATGTCCTATAAAATGTGTCCATGGGCCCTAGCTGGTTTTGCTCAGTGGACAAAGTGTCGAACTGTGGACTAAAGGGTCCCAGGTTCGATTCTGGTCAAGGGCACATGCCCAGGTTGCAGGCTTAATCCCCAGTTGGGGGCGTGCAGGAAGCAGCCAATCAATGATTCTCTCTCATCATTGATATTTCTATCTCTCCCTCTCCCTTCCTCTCTGAAATCAATAAAAATATATTTTTAAAAATGTGTCCATGGTACTAATCAGAACCTGTGCACTCTATCTCCCACCTCGTCATCAGCATTAAAGGAATTCTCCTGCCCAAGCTGAAGCATGAGTTTTCTGTGCTGTTATTAACTGGACAGTCCTTAAGTTGAACTGTAATCTCTTTGTGGAGAAACCATGTTTCTTTTCTTTTCGTACCCTCCTTCCTTGTTGCTTTGCACATCATAGTTATTAAAAAATATTCACTCAGTGGGCCCTTACTATGTCCAAGACACACTGCTAGATGCTAGGGGGAGGGTAAAAAGATGAATAAGAGATGGTCTCTGTGCCCAAGGAGCAGAGTCACGGGGAATTGAGAGGACTTCCTCATCCGGGCCAACTGGCCACTCCCATCACCCCATGGTGTTCAGATGGACTGTGCTCCAGCCACTGCACAGACTCACTACCTCACAAGCAAGACATTCTGAGTTTGTAACAGCTCTAGTTGTTAATCAAGCTAAAATCTTCCTCTCCTATAGCTTTCATACAGTAGTACCACTAGTTTTGCCTAGAATGACAGAAAATACATCTAATCCCTTTACCACATGCCAGCTCTTCCATACTTAAAGCTTGTCTTCATGTCTACAGACAGTTTCACCATATGTCGCCAGACAATCCTGGAGAATCCTACAGAATTCTCATTTCCCCATTAAATGAAGCCCCAGAGCCAAGCACGGGCTCCAGACAGGCCCAAGCAGTAGCCACTGTGGGGCTCCGCGCCTGCTCCCTATTCTGGGGCCTTGCCTACCCTCCCGTGAAGGCTGCTGTGCTCACTTCTTTGGCAGCTGCTTCACCGTCTGTTGACTCATCTTAAGCTTTCAGTGAACTGAAGCCCTAAGGCCTTTCTCCAGGACCAAACCTACCCATCTTATACTAGTGCTGTGGGCTTTTCAAAGCGAAGAGCAGAACTTTCAATTTTTTTCTATTTAATTTGACTTATTTCACATAAACCATCTTTCTATCCTGGATTCTATCATCAAGGTATTAGCTGTCCCCTATTAGCTGTGTCATCAGAAAGTTCTGCCTCTTTACAATGATTGAACCAGACAGGACCAAGGATAGCGCCCCACTCACCTTGGAAATGGCACTGATGGAAAATAAACGGTTTTGAGAATTCTGTTTGAGAACAACCCACCTGATTATATTGTGATCTAATCTACTTTCTATCATGTCTGCATAGCTATAAGAGATTTTATCAAATACCATTTGAGAGCCAGGTGCACCGAACTGCAGCTGGCCCCGGTCCAGGACAATAGCTTTGCATTGATGCCTAAAGAAAGACATAGGTTGGTTTCGCTTGGTTCAGCTTTATTGACCTTTCTATTAGCTTCCTTTCCTGAGACTCACCTTGTCCACTGTATTAAAGATTGGTTCTTTAGGACCTACTCATTTCAGAGCTAAAGGGACCTTGGAGATGATTCAAGATCTCATTCCCAATTTTGCTGATGAGAAACCAATACCCAGAGTGCTTAACTGGCATTCCTGAAGTCACAGCATTACTAGAGCAAGAACAAGGCATAGCAACATCAAGTCATAATGCCTTTCTCTAAGCACATTCATACACGCGTGCATATGGACACACACACACACACACACACACACACATGCATACATACACACATACTTATAGATCTCCCTTCAGGTCTCTTAATTGTCCACCAAGAAAAACTGTGGCATTATCATTTAGGGGTTCAGCTGGGACCCCATAACTGATGACTTCTTCCTCCTGCTTCACAGAACAGAAGATAAGGCCTAGAACCCCTCAAAGGGACTTGTTCTTTAGCAGGGAAGCTGTGGACTTCCCCCAACCTGGGTTTACCTTGGGAATCCTCACTCTACCAGGAGACCACTGTCTTTGAACTTCATTTGAGCCTGTGTGTGCCTAGGCATGGGATTGCCCCTTGAGTGGGCATATAAGCTAGGCTATCTCTTCTAAGTACTGAGTTGAGGTGGGATTTCCCCAGAGAACAATAGGCCACTTGCCTAATGCTGTGTGGGGCAGTTTAGGCTTCCTCCATATGGTGAGAGGAGCAGAGCCCTAGACACAGTGCTTAAGGGCCTGGCATTGCAAGGGTGTGACCCTACCATGTGGAGGCTGGTTACATTGGAGACTGGGCTGCAGGGAAGGGCAGATTACTTAGCTCTTTTTGAGAGAACTCGTGGCAAAAAAGATGCAGTTGCAGCAAAGGTGGGCCCAGATGGGGAGATCCCTGGTACCCTGGACAGCTCCCAAAGGCAGGGCCCCTTCACCACCCTTCCCACCCCCCTAGAGGCCCTGGGTACCTGTTTATTCTTTAGGTCAAGGGAGAGTTCGTAATCGGAGGCAGCAGGGGCGTGGGAGCAGAGCGCTGTCGCCAGGGCAGGCTGCTGCCGGCCAGGGGAGGCCCCGCGGTGGGGGCCAGCCCTTGGGGAGGCACCCCCCGCCCCTGGCCTCTCCTCCTCCTCCTGCAGCTCCTGGGCTTGAGCCTTCGGGGCATGGGCACTGGGTCTGCCGGCTGCCACCATGGAGTCCTCCATGCCCCCACTGGCCTGGGCACAGGAGCCGTCACTGTGAACAAAAGGCAACGGTGCTCGGTTGGCGGAGAGTGGGACAGGGTGCATGTGGGTGCAGGGGTAGGGGGAGAACATGGGGAGTGTGGCAGCAATGGGCCTTTCTAGTGGTGAGGGCTGGTGGAGATGTCTCCTGCAGTCCCCTCTGGGGAGGGGATCTCTTGGCATGAAATAGCCCCAGGCAAGGAGGAGGACCTAAACTTGAGGAGGGAATCCCACATCGAGGAAAGAAGCAGCTATGGCCAGAGCTCATGAACCTCTACTTAGGAGCAGTAGTGCAGCGTGGCAAAGAGTAGATTGTCTGGGTTAAAATGTGGGCTCTGCCTCTTAGTAGCTAGTGGGTATCTGAGCAGATTACTTAACCTCACTGTACCTATTTCCCCATCTATAAAATGGGCATAATAATAGTATCTACTTCATAGGAATGTTGGAAGGCTTAAGTTAGTTAAAATTCTTAAAACAGTGCTTGGTTCATGGTAATTGTTGTGTAAGTGTTAGCTATCATAGTTATCAGATTCTTGGCTTAGATAGTGAGGAGAAAGCTGGCTCACACTAGACCAACTCCCTCTTTTGTCCAAAATGAGTCTGGGGAAGGAGTCATGTTTACAGGCCTGGCTGGGGCAAAAGCCCCTTCAAGGCAGGTGGGTGCCAGCTTTTCTGGGCTGTATCTGTGAAGAGGAGGGTTCTTGCCCTGCTGGGTTTGGGAAGCATCTGTTCTCTGGGCCCTCCTCTTCTCCCGTGAAGCTACCATACAGGTTGAGCTGTAGCTGTTGCCTGCCTGCCCACTATAAGAAGACACCTGCTAGCTGGACAGCCACACCCCAGCCTGCCCTGGAGTGTTAATGCAGTTAGGTTTCTCCCTTCCCCAGTCAGCCTCCAAGTTCTTCACTTCCCTCAAGGCCCAGTGCTAAGTCACCTCCTGCATGAAGCCTTCCCAGGTGACTCCAGCTTTCTCTGTCCTATCTGCTGGAATACTAGGAGCTGTGCTTAGAGAGTCAGTGTCTATTTCACAGAGGAGAAGTATCATGGCTCACAGTATGGGCTCAAATCCAAGCTCTTCCACTGTGTGGCTTTGGTCAAGTTGCTTTTTCTTATCTGTGTAGTGGAGATACTAGTACCTAGCTTACTGAATTTTGGGGGGTGAGTGTAAAGAAGTCAGTATATGAAAGGTGTTTAGCACAGTTCCTGGCAGAGTAAGTTTTAAAAAAACATCAACTCCTGTTTTCCCCATCTGTCCCCTCCCAGAGGCCAGGACCTATATTCCACCTGGTTCTCTTCCCGCACTTAGTTCTGGGCAAGGGATGAGTGCTCAATAAATATTTGCTGATTATAGAGTTAAAGAGAATCCAAGGACCAGAGGATGACCTCTGGAGTGGACAGTGACAGAAGGCCAGGACTGAATGGGACCCTCAGGTCATCTAGTTCACTCTTCCAGTCTCCCTTTTTCACAGATGAGGAGCAGGGGCCCAGGAGGTGGCATGAGCCTAATTAGAGAGCTAGGCAACATCAGGACTTGCTTATTTCCTCCATGGCTTTGCCTCCATCTAAAATGCCCCAAATCGTACCAGAGAGGAGACCTCTTCCTGTTGCCTCCACCCAATGTTGGAGCCTCCTGGTGTTAAGAATAACTAGGGGCAGAGTGAAGAAGCCTCTCTTCACTAAACCTCCATCTGTCCTCTCAGCATCCCCCAGATAAAGGAGAGCTCATTGACTTTCCCTGGAACCAGGAACCTCAAACTCCCTAAGGTACCCTTCTTTGCTACTGTGCATTCCTTTGCTCTGTCAATTCTTGTGTGGCCACCAATGAAGCTACACAGTTGGATGAGCTCTAGATATCTGATACGATTTTCTTTTTAATTAGTATCACCAGGAGGTTCTTTTAAAGCTCTGACTTCAACTCCTCTTGCTTAAAGTATATGCCCGTTCTTCCTTCGGGGCACATGGAAACAGCCCTTTCCCTCTGTGAGCACAGCCTGCCTCCAGATTCTGGAGGGCAACATCCAGTCTCCTCCATCTCCTCTACCAACATCCATCTCCCCCATGTCTGTCCTTGGAACTGACAGCCAAGGTCTCTCCACCCCAAAAGGTTTCAACGCTTTAGAGACTGGTGGCTACGCAGGGCTAAAGATATCTTTAAAAGTAGCCCTTTGTTTTGTCTGATTGCTAGAGTGTGCTTGGCAAGAGGTTCTGCGGAGTTGATGCCACTCAATAGCAGGCCTCAACCAGCAACACTAGAGGCTGGCAGATAAATATACCAGCTTCCTCCTCCCTTGGGCTAAACAACTCTGAGGTGCATTCCATGCCATCTCCCCAAAGTGCCCAGTGCAATGGAGCTCTGGTTGGCCAAAGCAATGATCTAATCATTGAATGAATTTGTTTCCTTCTTTTCTGTGTCTCATTCCCAACTCTCCTATTGACACATTATAAAGTTACCTTGCCCCAAATATACGACTTATGTTAAAACAAAACAAAATTTTGAAATAGCCTTCTGTGTGGGCCACCCCTCTGGATATTGACAAGGGCTCTGAGGCCTTCTCACCTGAACTCATTCACAGGGACTAGGAGTTAGGCTGCCCCCACTGCCATCTCCAGCACATACACATGTGCACAGATGCATGTGTGTGTGCATGCGTGCACTCATGTCTGTGTGTACATACACACAAACTCGTGTACACACAATGTTTCTAAATAGCTATGAGGCTTTGAGTAATTCATGTCCTCCTCCTGGGTCAGTTTCTTCACCAGTCACATAAGGGCAGTTTACTCCTCTCTCAGGACCTTCCAGCTCAGACATTTTGGGAGCTTGGGTTGCAGTGCCGAGACCTGTCCAGCCAGGCCCACCAATTCTAAGGTTCCAGGCTTTCTACTGGTAGAACCAACTCCCACCTATGTGCACAGGGACCTAAGAGGCTGTGTTCCTCACAGGTATATGACTAAGAGTGTAGAAAGAGGACCCTGTCCTTGCCCTCCTTCCTTAAACTTCTCCACAGACTTGTGTGGTAGAAGGTGACTATGGAAGCCCAGGACTGCTGTATCAGTGTGTATGGCAAAGTTTAAGGTTATATAATGGAAGGCAAAGAACATTGGCTTTGATTTCAGGAAGACCTGGGGTAGAACCCTGGTCTGCTACCTACTACATGACCTTGAGCAAGTTATCTAACCTCCTCATCTACAAAATGGGCATCCTAATAACTCTTTTGCAAGATTTCTGTGAGAAATAAATATAGTTTGCAAGGCACCTAGTACAGTGCCTGGCACACAGTAGTCCTTGTTAAGTGGTGATAGCAGTGGTAGTTGTATTCTGAGCTGGAACCCTCCAGCATGGAATCTCAAAAGAATCCCAGAAAAATAGCATGAGAATTCCTAAGTGGAAAGGGTTCTGAACATTTAGTCTTCCTGTCAACCTTCATGAAACAGAAACAATAGAATTTGTGTGTGTTTTTTTTATCACACCTCCTGGCCTTTCCCAGCCCTCCAGACTAACTCCCAGGGTGTTCAGGGAGAAGACTGAAGATGGGCTGGCTTCCTTGAGGCTTCTCCCACCTCTGTTCTCCATCCATGGGAGCAACAACGTAGTGAAGGGCCTTGCTCTGGAATGTCACCAAGTCATGGGACCCATAGAAACCCCATGGCCTCTGAGGAATCTGTCTGTATTCACCACCTACAGGTCATCCCTTTAACTGTAGCCACCACAGTGTGGGCATCCCTAGGGGGGCATTTGTCCAGTGCCTATTGTGTGGATTTGTGCTTTGGTCACTTTATCAAAGAGCAGTGGAGGCCTGAGTGTTCAGCACCTCTATTTAAAGACTGAGCATCAGTAGAATGTTCCCAGCCTCTATTTCCCTCTCTGCACTCCACCTATAAAAATAGTCCAAGGAAAGAGGTTTTAATCTTCATCTTAGGCTGTCATAGCTGGAAGGACTATCCTTCAATCCATAGTCTCTTATGGAATTGGCAGCCCATTGTTCCAGCTCCTGGAACATCATTCCTCCCAAGACCCAGTCTGTGTATCCATTAAGCTTCCAGAGTTTGCTGGGCTGATCTCACATCATGAAGCTGCCACCCCAGTGGATCAGATTCCAGGCAGCCGGGCACTTGGACAATTATCATTTGGAATTTACTCTGTGACCTGCATAGCTTCTTGCAGCCTCTCCCTTGAGCTGCTGGAGGGGGATCCTGGTGATCATAGCTGTCTTGGGCTCCATGTCCATCTCCAGAAACAGAATCTTTGAATGGCAGCCCACTAGCCCGGGGACACTTAAGGTCACTGCTGACATATGGGCGATGCTAGTCACAAGAGTCTTCCCTGGGTTAAGGCACCCATTTGAGAAGGGGAAAAGTAGAATGTGAGTGGCACCAAAGTGAGAGGTTCTTAGAAGGCTTTGGTTGTGACCACATGATATTAGGCTGATACATATACAGGAGTCCAGGCCATCCATGGAGGTTATTCTATGCATGAGAACATCGGATCTGAGTATGGGAAATGAAAATCTTTGAGAAATTGAGAAAACAAGAGTTGCTGAACCGGAGGAGGGCCACTCATGTGGAAAGCCAGCTCGTGTTCAGAAGGATGCTGGGTGCCTGCTGAGCACGCTAGTCCTGGCGCATATGCGACTGCCCTGGGACTCCGATGACCACTCCAGCCTATCTATCATGTCTGCTACCATAGTTGACTTCCTACAATGCAGATGCTTTGATATCAATTCTCTGTTCAAAACCCATCTGAGACTTTCCAGTGCAGTACTGCTGGGATAAAGTCCACCTGTGCGGCACCCAAGAGCATTCATGATCTTATCACAACCTCCCTTTCCAGACTTATCTCCACTGAGTGACTAACCACTCTGTCCACACTGAAACACTCCCCAAATCTGCCAAGCCCTCTCAGACCACCATGCCCCTCACATGACTTCCTTCTGCTTGAAATGCCTTCTCATCTTCATGCCCTTACCCTACCACCTACTCCTTTCTTTGACTTTGACTCATTCATTGCCCCCAGAA